AAAAAGGACTCTCACTGTGCCTGTTCTCCGGGTCTCCCGTCGGGTTCAGAGCGCATGACGTGGCCCCGCTGACCTGCACCGTCTTGTTCTCTGCAGGGCTGGAGGCCACGCAGCTGAGAGAGGAGCTGAAGTCCCGTGTGTCCACAGGCAGAAGCAGAGAGGAGGCAGAGCTGCTGTGGGTCAGGACCTGCTGGCCTCTCTGCCACCACAGGCTGGTGTTCCTCCCCACCCAGCACAGCAGCCAGCAGCCCTCAGAGCTGCTGTTCAGCCGCCGCACCGCAGGGGCGGGAACCCGCTCTGGGGGGGAATCAATCAGTCAGTCAGTCAATCAATCAATCAATCAATCAATCAATCAGTCAATCAATCAATCAATCAATCAGTCAATCAGTCAATCAGTCAATCAGTCAGTCAATCAGTCAATCAGTCAATCAATCAATCAATCAGTCAATCAGTCAGTCAATCAATCAATCAATCAATCAATCAATCAATCAATCAATCAGTCAGTCAGTCAGTCAGTCAATCAGTCAGTCAATCAATCAATCAGTCAATCAGTCAGTCAATCAACCAATCAATCAGTCAATCAATCAATCAATCAGTCAGTCAGTCAATCAATCAATCAATCAATCAGTGGTTATCTATACAGCACTTTACAACAACACACGGGGGGGTGGAGGGAGGGAGGATTAGGGTTTGCACTCACAAAACAATGGACAACTCCCCAAAAAGCACCCCCAACATAAAGGATTATCAAGCGACAATAATAACAGAAATAAATGACGAGTTACAGAGTTACAGGTCCCCAAAAAGCACCCCCAACATGAAGGATTATCAAGTGACAATAATAACAGAAATAAATAAATAAATGACGAGTTACAGAGTTACAGAGGCTGTGAATCTATTATGTTCCTGTATTTCCAGCAGGGAGTTGCTAAACTAAAAGTTAAACTAAGTTAAACTAAAAACTATCAGTTAAACTCATTTAGAAATGGCTCCCAGACCGTATAAAATCTCTGGGTTGAACCCCGATCGTGTGTTTCAACTTCTTAAGTTTCCAGTTTGCCATTAACCCAGCGCCTGTGTGTGGGAGGCCTCTCTGACTTCCAATAGAGATGAAAATGCAATGAGGTCTGATTGGAGCAGCTTCAGGAGACAAACACACTCACCAAACACTCTGAGCTGATAGGAGCTGAGAACAAACTCCGTTTTAGACTCCAGTTTATAAACTCCTGAGTCGCTGGTCTGCAGGTCTGTGATGGAAAAGAGTCCAGTTTGTTTGTTCCAGTGAACTCTGTTCTCATAGGTTTTGTCTTCAATATCAAATTCTCCTTTTGTTACAAAAGCCATGTTGCTTCCATTAAATAACAGAAACCCTCTCTGCAGGATGGAGTCTGTCAGTGTGATGTTTCCTCCAACAACTGCTCTCAGTTCCTCCATCTTCTCTCCTCCAGCTGCAGAAAGTCCTGAAACATCAGAGAGCAGCAGTCAGCCTCAGACACATCTGTAACATCTGCCCTGTGTCTGGGCAGGTGTGGCTGAACAGGTCATAAAGAGTCCTTTGGGGTTTCCCCCACACGATCTGCATTAGATTAACCTCCTCTGCCTTCAGGAGAACGGACCAGAACCCACAAACGACCATCATTTTCCATAATGAGCTAGAACCTGCAGCCAGACGAGCTCTAAGCCGATCAAAGTTACAAAATGACTCTCCCTCGGGCAAAAACTGAATGTCATAATGCCATAAAACTCAATAACAACATGATGGATTTGCATACAGCCCCTGGGCAGAGCACCTGGGAGGTGGGGGCTGTTTTCTGCTCCAAACTGCTCCCAAATCCAGAGGTGAGAAGACGGATATGGGCTCAGGGTTATCCTCTAAGGTGATTAAAGCTGAGAGGGCAGAATCAGGACGGTTCAGTGAGTCTGTGTGGGCTGCAGGCCTCAGTTAGACCCCCCCCCCCCCAACGGCTGGTGGGGGGGGGGGGACATTAGAGAGCTCTGTGATCTATTCTTTATGCATTCCTTTCAGGTCTAACAGGAAAGGGAGTTTCTAGGAAACATTAACCCATCAGGCCTCAACATGCCTCCTCTGCATTTTTCTCTAGTTCCAGGTCTCTGGATCAGAGCTAACGAGTTTAATAACTACACTGTAGTTTTCTTCATAGACGCTCAGTGGGTTTATCTCTAGATTTAAAATGTCTGTTTACAGATTTAATTCATTTGGTTCTGAGGGTCCAAATGACTTATTTACCACATTGAATTCCATTTTCCACCTGATTGGTGGAAAATGTCTAAAAGCATTTTCCTTTAGATGTAAACAGCCATAGGGCTCCTATAGTGAAGTCAGACCCCGAAGACAAACAGCAAAGAGGGAAGGACATAAACAAAAACAGGAAGTTCATAAACTCTAATCGGCGGGAAACAGGAACAGGACATGCACCCAAAAAAATGAAGAAGCAAATATAGCAGAAAGCCCAGAGCGGGGGGACTAAAAACGTCTCTGTGGTTTTCAGCTTCTGAGAACTTTAGAGGAAAGCCCCTCATTTATTCATCCGTCGGAAGCCGAGCAGAGCCTCAGTCTCTAGATCTAGAGTTAAGTCTATTTGTCTACATGGAAATAAAAACTCGTTTTACAGCCTGTGTTTGCATCCATCCTGATAAACATCCTGAAGCTGTGGATCACTGGAGGCTAAAC